TATTATTATTATTATACTTTATACTTTATACTGACACTGTATTACACTTTCCCAGGAATTGTGAAAAGTTGAGCAGTCTCAAGTTAGGTCCGATTGGGCTCAGAGATAGGTGGCCCATAGTAGTAATGAAGTAACGCCATAGTACTACCGGGCCATATAGATAGCTAGGACTTAGACTTAGACTTAGACTCAGACCTAGACCTAGATTCAGACTTAATTAACTACTTACTTGTCAGTGGTTGGTACAACTACAACTGTTCGACTTAGACTCAGACTTAGACTCGGGAAGCAAGCCTGCCGGAGGGATCTCCTGATGAGTCGTCTGGCACCCTTCGCCTCTTTGGTGCTTCCGAGTGCTCGCTTGCCTCCTGTCAGTGGGCTGACTTCTTGGTACCGCGCATTTCCCTTGATCCCCAGTCTACTACTACAACCCTAACCCTAACCCTAACACCCTAAACTTACCCTAAATCGAATCTATAAGACTTGCGGGATTTGCGTCTAGGAACTTATGGGCCTTAAGCCAGCCATAAGCTGCCATAAGCCATAAGCCGAACTTAGACTTAGACTTAAAGATCCTAAGTTTAAGTTTGAGAGTTGAAGCCTAAGCCTTGCTTTAAGCCCCTAAGCCTTAAGCCTTCCACCAACGTAGGCATAGATAGACAGAGACTGGTAGACATAGACGACGTAGACTCGAGGATAGGAAAGCGCGTCGAGTACTCGGCAATGCCTGACACGCAGGGTGATGGGGATCTGCAGTCAGCTAAGGCTTCACTTTACCTGCCCGCCTATCTGTCGCAAAGGCAAACCTTTGAAAGATGAATGCTGGTGTTGTTATGTTAAGACTCAGACTCGAGACATATTATAGATTATGTGATTACAAAATCCATCTGAACGCAGCCACAGTGACGGCACTCGAAGCACCGGGACATTGAGGGGATCTGCCGCAGTGCCCGCATGCTGCCCACTCATTCACCTCAATTGAATCATTGAGCAACGCAGCAATACTAAACTAAATTACTATGTCCAGGTGCGCGCGCAGCATGCTGTTGCATTTCGCAAGCACCTTTTTTTTTCTCCCTGGGTCGCTCCGGGTACACAGGTACACTCCTGCGGAAGATGCATCCACACGCGTAGCCGCGTAGCCTCGGCGGGCGGGAGGATGGGTAATTTTTGAGGCGGGTGTGTAGGGCTGTGTCTAGAGTCTAGAGTCTATAGCCTATAGTCTAGAGTCTATAGTCTATAGTGTCTATAGTCTATAGTGTCTATAGTCTATGGGCCGGGCCTATGACTATGACTCTGACCTATGGGACCTATGACTGATGACTTATGACTTATGACCATTGTGGCCCATGCGAGCTACAGATTGACTCTGGACTCTCATTATCATTAGACTCAATCATTAGACATTTCATTAGACAACTTTAGTTTAGACTCTAGAATTTAGACTCTAAAGACTTTAGATAGGTAAAGAAAACTTCAGACTCCAAGTTCTGTACTCTTCAAAATTTAACTTCACGCGGCTGAGCTGCCGAAGACATAGGCATTGAATGAATCAGCAGAACCAGCATCAAGCAAGCTCTCGCCTCAGCAGTCTCGGACACTCCCGTTCATTGCGCCAAGCATGTCGCGCTGCCGGCTACAGTG